GAAAAACTTTCAAATTCTTATTTTTAATCAATATATATGAAATGTTCCTTCACTGGGTAGTGTTCCTTCACTGGTTGGTTTACCCTATATATATATATATATAGGGTAAACTAACCAGTGAAGGAACACTTAAGCTTCGCTTGCCTTTTAAAAAATCATATTAATTTCAAAATTCGTAATTTTAGTTAAATGACAGTGTCAACATATTTGTTACTAATTGCAAATTATGTAAAAAAATTGTAGAGAACTTACATAATATTGTTTTAAAGTTTTGGAGGTTCAAATAACAAGTAGTAAGAAGACCAAGTGAAGGAACAGCTCTTACCAGTGAATGAACACCCAGTAAAGGAACACTTAATTTTGGTTATTTTTTAATGCTCTTTATGAATTTATAAGCCATACAAATATTTAAAAACAAGCCTATTCTTGAAATTATAACATATAAATACTTGGAAAATGTTAACTTTTTTTTGTAATCATGAATTGAAAATTAAAGTGTCAACATATTAACACATACTGTTCATTCATTGGGAAATCTATGCCCAGTAAAGGAACATGCCTGTTCCCTCACTGGTTAGAAGTTATTTTTCGTATTTTTAACATACTTTTGATGCGGAACCTCACTAAAGGTACAAGAAAATTAAAGTTTATCTTTTATTTTCATTAACGTAGAAAAAACCCCAGTAAAGGAACACTTGTTCCTTCACTGGTTTTTCATCGTTTAGTGATCCAGTGAATAAACACCCCTTATCTCAGTACTTTATAATGCTGTGATGCTTAAAAAAAATAAAACGTAACTTCAATAACTATATTTTGAATTCTCTTTTTCACAGTGAGAAAAATAAAACTACTACATGCAATCAATTCCACTTCAAACATATAAATACAAACACTCACCTTATAACTTTTTCAAAGAAACAAGGTGTTGCAGAGATAATAACAAATTCAAACATTTTTCCGGAGAAGTCTATTTGACCAGGTAATCCAAAACATTGCTATATGACTTCCTATTGTTTGGCAGTAAGCTATTGTTACCAATCAATCTAAAGAAAAACTTTCAAATTCTTATTTTTAATCAATATATATGAAATGTTCCTTCACTGGTTGGTTTACCCTATTCAGATAAATAAACCAAACTAAAAATAACATTTTGAAAAATGTCTGTAATTTTCCGAACAAAACTTGTTTCAGATTTGAAATACTCACACCCGTTAACCCCAAAACTTCGCTACCCAACGTTATTTATTATTATTTTCCCTTATTTATATTAACAACGATCAAAAAGTATTTTGAATTGTGAGGTATTTAAAACATAAAATCTTGAATCATGTAATTTCATTTAAAAAAATAATTTCTTTATAGAGCGAAATTCATCAAATCGTGCACAAAAAGTTAGAAAGAATATAAGGTGGGGGGGGGAGGTTTCAAATTTTTTTAAAAAATTTTTTCTTGATTAAACCTATTGTACTGGCTTGAAAGAATATTTTTTCATAACAGCAACGTCAGTGTTTCAATATGCAAACACTGATTTCTAAAGTTTTATATGGCATAGTAAATCAATCTTTCAAATATATAAGTCTATTTAGACAGTTATGAAAATAAGTTTTGGCGAAAAAGCTTAATTTTTTAANTTCCATTACATATTTCTATTAATATAAAAAGTTTCAGAGCTTTTTATTCACTTTAGTTTCTTGGGATTTTATTAACTGAAAAATGACAGTTTTCGTGAGAATGACCCATATATAAAATGTTCCTTCACTGGGTAGTGTTCCTTCACTGGTTGGTTTACCCTATTCGGATAAACAAACCATACTAAAAATAACATTTTGAAAAATGTCTATAATTTTCTGAACAAAATTTGGTTCAGATTTGAAATACTCACACCCGTAACCCCAAAACTTCGTTACCCAACGTTATTTATTATTATTTTCCCTCATTTATATTAGCAGCGATCAAAAAGTATTTTGAATTGTGAGGTATTTAAAACATAAAATCTTGAATCATGTAATTTCATTAAAAAAAATAATTTCTTTATAGAGCGAAATTCATCAAATCGTGCACAAAAAGTTAGAAAGAATATAAGGTGGGGGGGGGAGGTTTCAAATTTTTTTAAAAAATTTTTTCTTGATTAAACCTATTGTACTGGCTTGAAAGAATATTTTTTCATAACAGCAACGTCAGTGTTTCAATATGCAAACACTGATTTCTAAAGTTTTATATGGCATAGTAAATCAATCTTTCAAATATATAAGTCTATTTAGACAGTTATAAAAATAAGTTTTGGCGAAAAAGCTTAATTTTTTAAATTTTATAATTATTTTATTAAAGTAGTAAATTTTTTGCCTATGACCGTACAAGTTTGCAGATATGGGTCCCACACTTCACAGATTACGGCGGCCATTCTTTTTCATATTTTAAGGGTCAACTATCCAAAGAGAAGTATGCTTATTCATAATTATAAAACCACTGGATGAATGCTCGTTCTTCGTACGATGTGAACAAAAAAAATCAATTAATCAGTAAACAGCATTACAAAATTATTGGATTAATATCTAACCCGCACAATCTTGCCGGCTGGGTCTTAAAGTGCTATAGCAGGTTTGCCAAGAACAATACTTTTGGCAAAATTTTTAAAATTATATGAAGTAAAACGAAATTCTTATTCTATTGTGATTATTTTTTTTTATCTCTGCTTCTAACTTTTACCGTTTCAAAGGGAAATTTTTTCTCAAATATTTAAGGTGGTAGTGAAATTGATAATTTAACATTTGTTTTATTGATCTGAATTTGATTTAAAAAAAACTTAAGCTAACATCTAATATAAATAATTCCAACTTAAGATTTAAAAATTAACTGATAGTAATGTGTCAGGCCTTTTTACTGATAATGAAAGCTGCAGATTTTCTAAAATAATGTGAGTAAATAAAATAAGTGACTGAGAGATTTATAATTTTTCATGCCATTTTCGTGCTTGTAAATGAAAATTTATTTACTTAAAAATGGAATAAAGGTGAAATGTTTTAATTCTCCGGACCTACAGGACGAAAACAAAACAGATTTGATGAAAGATATGAAAAGTTACAAGCGAAAAAAAATTTGAAAAGAAAATAATGGGCAAAAAAAAAACAATTACCACTTTTTCTATAAAGGCTATGTTACCACTTTTTTCAATAGCGCTCTTGAATAATTTAAAAAAGAGGTAAAGGTATTTCCAGTTCCTTCCTCATAGAAAGAATTGAAAGAATTTTAAGAATTATGGTGGCTTCTAGTGATTTTCTAACAATACTTGTGTGCAAATAAAGTAATCTCATCACTGATTTAGTAATTAATTTAATTGTATTGAGAATAATTTAAATTTTTTCTGCAAAATAAATCCTATTATTTAAACATTCATGTTGCCCTTTTTTTTCTCAAANAACAATACTTGTGTGCAAATAAAGTAATCTCATCACTGATTTAGTAATTAATTTAATTGCATTGATAAAAATTGAAATTTTTTCTGCAAAATAAATCCTATTATTTAAACATTCATGTTGCCCTTTTTTTCTCAAATGAAGAAAGGTACAGTCTTTTTAAAAGAATATTAAACTCAACTAGATTAGTAACAATCAAATTACGGATTTTTCATTAGATTTTATTTTCTTATTGAAAACAGCAGTTAAATTATGTTTTTTATTTTTGGATTCTAGTTGTTACTTTAAATGTTAAATAGGCCAACTTTATTTCTTAAAGTGAAATTAAAACCTCTAAAATTTCCAACAACCTCTTTAAAATGCGTCACTACATTTTAATTTTTCCCTTTTGTGATTACCCTGTAAGGGTATACTTAATATTGCTATTAGTTAAAATTAAAAAACAAAACAAAAAAACAATCGCTTTCATATATTTCAAATGGAAATAAGAATACTTAAATCAGGAAAATAGTATTATAAAAATCACGTATTTTTTCGTTTACAAAAATTAAAGTTTATTTTATCTCTCTCTCTTTTTGAAAAAAAAAAGGATTAACCGTCAATTAAGTTTAGCAAGTTTATTTGGCCAATAACTAAATAAAACCTAATTTTTTTTAGCTGGTAAAAATATTCCTTAGCGACTAAAATACTAAGTAATAAATAACAACACCAAATGCAAATTTGATAATATGCATTTGGTGACCTTAGTCAAATTATGATAGTCAACACTGATTAGACACAAGGGCAAAATTTTTACTATCAATGACAAAAAGAAAGAAAGGTGATAAGAAAAATTCTTTGCTTTTAATCATAATCAGCTTCAGGCAAAAGTAAGAACTCACAAGTCTCAGTTATTAAAACTATACGCATTATTATATTATAAATGTTTAACAATTAGATTGACGTGACTATTTTTTTAAAAAAGTAAATGATAATTAAGTTAAAACCTGAAAAAAAAAGTTAAAACTGAAATCAATGTACTTCCGCTCGAGCAACGTAGCGGGAATCTGAATAATATAATGTTTAAAACTAATTATGGTGTTAGGATTGGGGGAAGGGTTGCAGAATTCGACTATTTAAATACAGTTGGGAGGTGTATTTAGCTTGGTTACGGTTAAAGTTTGCATGTTGTACAAGATAATATTGAAAGATGACCAAGCTGGTCGTCAAAGATGGCTACTTTAATTATAAAGTACTTTACCCCCACAATTTTTTTTCGAGTAACATTTTGATTTTCTGATCTGGTGGTTTCATAGCCCTTAAATATTATTATGATGTGCAAATTTATTAACATTTTGCAGCTCTAGCATTTGAAAATATATTTAAATATGTAAGCACTAAATTATTTAAATACATATCATACGAAAATTTTATATATCAACTAACAACTTTAAAATAATGTGGTTATTAATATTAAAATTTTAAATTTCAAAGTGGTGACTTTTGGTGCAATATTAGAGTGGATTCAGATCAGAGTGGACTGCAAAGGGTAAAAGGTGAAGAACAATTACGTATTATTAAAACTGAATTTGAAGTTTGTAAACAAACCTGTAAATATTCGGAGAGGCTATTGGGATCTCTGTTGACACCATCCATGATAATAGTGGGGACGGCCTTACGAGCCTCACCACCACCGAAAATTGTTGATGCTGCCGTTTTGTGGCCTCCAAATATCGTTTTCAGATTAGCAATTCGTCACTGTCAAAAGTATCACCCAATTATAAACAACGAAAAAAAATCGTTTTCCTTTCTTATAGCAAACGATTTTCTAATATTCTATGTCTGAAACTCCATGTTCGTGACATTTTCCTTTCTTTGCCGAAGTCTGGCAACGGAGTGAAAAGCTCACACCGAGTGAAGTATTCCATTCGATTAAGGAGTTTCCTAGGTTACTCACGAAGTATACAAAGAAATGGCACGATGTTTTTATTTTGTTTATAAAACAAACTACTCGGAAATACGTTACTTTCTTCGAAATTCTAAGGTTGTTGCTGTCTATATGTATATTATGCATTTTAATGGGTTATAGAAATGCTTCGAAATGTTCTAGGTTTTTTTTTTATCGATATTAATCCTTCTTTATAATCTACAATATTTTTTCAGTTAAAACATTATTTTTTGTTTTTAGTGGAGATATTGGAATAAATAAATATAAGGAATGCATAAAAATTGCTCTAGATTAAAGAGAGGATCACTTTGTTCATGGAATTCTAATTTGAATGTCTTGAACAATGAAATGAGATTTAATGATGGTATTTTTAATAGTATATAATAAAATGGTACTAATTCGGTACTTCTTCCTGGGTGAAGTTTAAATTTCAATTAGAATTATTTATACCAACTTTGATGCGTTACACTTGATGCAATGTAAACATTAGTTTAAATACTTTACACTGTAGATCTGAAAATTTAAACTTGGAGGAATGCTAATTTGAATACTTTACCCCTTAAATAAGGTACTTTACAGTTTATACAATGTAGACTTTAATTTGAATCGAAATTGTAAATTCGATACTTTACACTTGATGCAAGGTAAACATCAATATGAATACATAGCTTTTATTCGATATTATGTTTTTGGTGCAATGTTAATTTTAATTTGAATACTTCGCTGTATGAATTTGATACTTTTATTTGAAGGAATTTATACTTTAATTTGAATATTGCAAATTTGATACTGCACATTTGGTGCAAAGTAAACTTTATATTGAATACTTTTTTCGATAAATTTGATGTTAATACCTGATTGCACCTGTTTTTCTTTGCTAATTTGATTGTACCTGTTTTAGTTGTTCGGATAATATGCATAAATACCACTGCACGTTTAAACATTAGTCAAGTTTGAATGGTTAAAATAGTTGGATTGTAAAAATTTAGCACATGAAACTATAATCACTATCATTTTATATGAACAAAGTAAATCTGTTATTTAATGCTTCACATGATGAAATATATATGGAAATATATAAAAATTATCTTCAGCGTAGATTTTAAAAATTTTAAAACAGAAAAACAAATATTCAACAGTGAAAAGTATTTATTTTAGAGAAAAATTTAAATTTTTAGTCTGATAAGTAACTGAAAAAATTTGCACTGATTTCTATTTTGAGCGGTATGATTTTATATGTTTATTTTGATGCCAAAAAAATTTCATTATTGTTCAAAAAATGATTTTCGGATAACATATTTAGCATTAAAATTTTACTAATGTGAATATGTTGCAAACTGCAGTGCAAACAAATATAACCCATTTAATATCGTTTGCTGCATTGTTATTAGCAAAACAATAAATTTTGATTTAAGAAAACGTTACAGTCAAATAGGGAATAAATTTTGCAGCAAGGTTGTGGCAACCTGTTGTTAGTAAAAACAGAGCGCCTAGTTTTCTGTTCATCTTCTTTTGAATGAGTTATGCCAATATTTGCTGCGCAAAGATGGTTAATTCTGTGACACAACGAGTATTTCTAGTGTTAGCCACCTCCATCGTAACGTTATGAGAAGTTCCAAATGGACAGATCTGGTCACCGAATAAGAAAGCAACCATCACAGACTGATTCTGGAGAGGAGGAAGTACTAATTTCCATAAATTAAGTCCAGGGCGGTGGAGTCGAAGAAAATATTGATGGAGTCGGAGTTGAAAAAATTAAGAGTTCAAAATTATTAAACTCTTAAGATTAGAAGATTATATATATATATATATATATATATATATATANATATATATATTTCAGTTCAGGATACAATATGTTGAGGTCATTTTTTTTTGTCCTATACGTTATTTTCAAAGAAGCAGAAAGAGTAAATCTATGAATATAAACATGCATCTTTCTTATTAACTTGTATTAACTTCTTATTAACTATATTCAGATAAAAAATAAACTATGCCGAAAATACCGCTTCGAAAAAAAATCTGTAGCTTTCCCAAGGAAACTAATTTAAATTGTCCATATCCGAATTAGGTAAAATCACAGTACTTGTATAAATGCAACAAAATATTTGTTCAAATAAATTATTAAGAAATAATCTCTTAATTTATAAGTTTCAATACCGAATCTTTCTTAACTTAGAAAAAAAATAATTAAATAGAGATGCAAATTAATATACTCTATCAATTGCAATACTTTCCTTGTCCATGAATATTCACTGAACATTCTTGTTTCAATGAAGTGTTTATGTATGTAGGTGTACACACGTGCGATGTTGATATTCAGCTCTAATCTTATAACGGTTTTTCACAATTAAATATTTTGCATAAATACACAGGGTGTCCCAAAACTCAGGGTACATACGTTAGTGAATGATAGAATACAACCAGACAAGCACAAACTCCCATACAATGAAAGTCGTAGGGCGCTAGAGGGCGATTCACAGTGACCGCCAAAAATAGGCTGCTCACAGCATCTGTCTTCATTCGTTATGTAGATCACCGATGAGATGCATGTGAACTCAAAACAGGAAAAATCTAAGATGTATTACATGTATGGAGCTGCAGACGATAATGCAAGGGAAGTTTAAAGATTGCACCGAGTGCATTTTCTTACGAGACGCGCCCCTTATGAGAGGACGTTTCAACGACTGCACCAACAAATCTGCGAGAGGGGTTCCTTTTCAAGTTGCATAAAGGTTACCGAACGTGGCAGGAGTGTAAGAACGCTCTCTGTAACGGATGACATTGTGCCTCCTATGAGCGAGAGGCCTGAATTTAGCACGCGGGCAGTGTCCCAAGCCGCTCACGCTTCCCGTAATACGGTGTGGCCAGTGCTGCAAGAAAGAATGCATCCCTACCATGCTCAACGAGTTCAGGACCTGGAACCCCCGGATTACTAAGCACGTGTTAATTTTTACCTCGTGGTTTCTTACCCAGATGGCTGTGGTCCGGCAATTTTGTGCATATGTATTGTTCTCTTACGAATGCGCATTCATACGCGAGAGTTTTTCGAATATACACAACTATTATGTTCGAGTAACTGAAAACCCGTACACACTACGTTCATGTTCGTTTCAGCAACGTTTTGCGTTAAATGTTCGTGACGGATGCACGCACAATCATTCGTTTGGGCTATACCCATTGCCAAGAAGCTTGGATGGAGATTCATACCTTGTGTTTTTCCGAGAGGTGTTGCCAGAACTGTTAAAACCATATTTCAACACATATCACACGAGAAATGTGGTTCTAACAAGGCAGGGCACCAGCTCATTGCGATGTGGATGCACGTAACGTCTTAGCTTTCATGCATCCGGGTTGATGGATAGATTTGCGGTGGTCCAATCACCTGACCGGTCCACTCACGTCTAGACTTTGTCTACTGGGGTCATATCAGGGCTAAAGAGAATACAAGGGCTAGTTCACTCCNAGCCCTTCTATTCTCTTTAGCCCTGGGGTCATATGAAGAGCCTCATCTACGACGATATTTTCAAAAATTCTGCTCTAAACCTTGTTGCCTTGATATCCGTTTGCTTCTGATACTATAAGAAAGCTACGGTGTCTTCGATAATGTACGGCAGTCGCACCTTCGACGTAGTGAAGCTTGCGTTAATGTTGGCGTAAGCAATTTAGAGCAGTTCCTGTGATGGGGGACTTAATGTTGTTTAATTTGATTTTGTTGAATAAAATATTTTTCTTTTTTTAATCGGTGTATTTTCATTTCACCTATGTCTGTCTTGTTACCTATCATATCGTGAAAAAGCATGTTTCGCGCTCTAGCGCCTTACGATATTTATTCCGACTATGGATTGCATGGTGGTTTGTGCTTTTCTAGTTGTGCTCTATCATCCTCCAACGTATGTACCATGATTTTTGGGACACCCTGTATACATTTAAAATTTATTTCTCCAATTGTGAAAATTTAAAACAACTACAATTTAGAGTCGACCGCGCAGAAATAAAAAATACGTAAGTTCTTTAAATTCACAGAACAAAATGTTTGCGAAATTTAAACATTCGTTTTTTTACCTCATTTGCCTTAATAACAACTTTTCGTTTTAATATAAAAATACAAAATAAAAAATCGAGTGTTAATGTGTGTAAACACCAAAATAGTGAAACATATTTCGCATTAAACTATCAGAACAATAATAATGTTTTTCTTAAAAAATTGGGATGTTTTAGTTGAGACTCTAAGAGTATAATTTTGCAATATACCAAAGCAAATTAATAAGGTTATATACATGGCAACTTTTTTGAACTAAATGTTAACAAAGCTTAAAAGTGGTAAAACCTGTGACCAAGTCCGATAGTTAAATTCGCAGCCTTGTAGCTGAATCTAGTCTAGATATATGAATTTTGTTTGCTGTATATACGTAAGTTGAAAATTAAACAAATAAGCTGAATTATGATTTTCATTGATAAGAAAACGAAAAAAAAATTGCTATAAACGTTGGAAATAGATAATAGTAAATTTTATTTCTCTATTAACAAATTTAGCAATTTCATTTAGATTTGAAAAGCGTAATGTTTTATACTAATGCGATTTTTTTACAAATACATGTCTTTTTCATAATTTATCCAATACAATGTTATTAAAGAGCTTTATACCAATATTTGTTTTTTTAAAAAAATGCCATTTTTTCCATCGGTATTTTACTTAATAATTTTCAATTTCGTCTGGAGTTTAACCGAAATATTAAGTAAATAATGTGTTATTAATTGGATTTACGTACAAAAATATAATTACTAAGTTTCAAAAATGTTCCTTATTCTTGGAACCCCTTCAACTTTTCCACGGAACCCTAGAGTTCCGTGAAATGCAATATAATAGTGCTGCGTAAGCTTTATTAACTTTTATTTTAATATGAGCTGTAATACCACCTAAAATAAGTTGA